TAGATTCTATATTTCCCATGCTATTCTTGCCCCCCCATCTATTTTCTATCTACTGTCTATGCTACTTATTTGCTGTACCTTCTCCCCCCTTCTCTTCCTCCCACTCCCCTGTTGCTAACCCTCCATGTGATCTTCATTTCTATGTTTCCACTCCTGATCTAGCTGTCCTTTTAGTTTGCTTTCGTTTTAGGTGTGGTTGTTAATAACTGTGAGTTTGTTGTCCTTTCACTGTTCATGTTTCTTTAACTTCTTTTTCTTAGATAAGTCCCTTTAACATTTCATATAATAAGGGCTTGGTGATGATGAACTCCTTGAATTTGATCTTATCTGAGAAGCACCTTATCTGTCCTTCCATTCTAAATGAAAGTTTTGCTGGATAGAGCAATCTTGGTTGTAGGTCTTTGGATTTCATGACTTGGAATACCTCTTTCCAGCCCCTTCTTGCCTGTAAGGTCTCTTTTGAGAAATCTGCTGACAGTCTGATGGGGACTCCTTTGTAGGTGACTGTCCCCTTAGCTCTTGCTGCTTCTAGGATTCTCTCCTTCATTTTAATCTTGGCTAATGTAATGATGATGTGCCTTGGTGTGTTCCTTCTTGGGTCCAACTTCTTTGGGACTCTCTGAGCTTCCTGGATTTCCTGGAAGTCTATTTCCTTTGCCAGATTGGGGAAATTCTCCTTTATTATTTGTGCAAATAAGTTTTCCACTGGTGGCTGTGCCTTTCCCCTTTCTGGTACCCCTATAATTCGGATGTTGGAGCGTTTAAAGATGTCCTGGAGGTTCCTAAGACTCTCCTCATTTCTTTGAATTCTTGCTTCCTGACTCTTTTCTGTTTGGCCATTATTTGCTTTCTTCTGGTCCACTCCATTGATTTGAGTCCCATTTTCCTTTTCATTGCTATTGGTGTCCTGTGCAATTCCATTCATTTCAATTAGTTTCGCCTTCATATGTTTCTCTAATTTGTGGCTATGATCAACCAGTTCTGTGAGGATCCTGATGACCAGTGTTTTAAACTGCGCGTCTGAGAGTTTTGCTATTTCTTCATCGCTTAGGTCTATGGGCTCAGGGATTTTGAGAACTTGCGACATTTTTGGTCTGTTCTGGCCCTTTAAGTGTGAGAAGCGGCGCCTTGGACTCCCAGGTCGCTGGGTTGTGACGCTGTATGTGGGGGCGTGGTCAGAGCGGGGAAATGGCGGCGCCCTCTACTGCCGCTTGCTGCGGGGATGCCAGGCCCCGGTCCAACCGCCCACTCCCTCGCCTGTCCGCTCACGCACAAACAGGCGACCACAGTCAACACGCAGCACCGCTTCCCCGCTGTCTCCTCCGCGGTCGCTCGCCTGGTCACTTACTGGATTGCTCACTAGGTCCAACCCTGCGCCTGGATTCCGAGTCTGGATTCCGTGCCTGAGCCCGTCTGACCGAGTCCTCCTGTGCAACCCTGCTCCACCAGCCACCGGTTTCGCCCCTTACCGGTCAGGCTGAAGAATTTGTTGTTAACGGATTTCCGAAAAGTTCAATTTTCTGTGTTCTGGCTGTGATTTCTGTTGCTAATATTTAGTTGTCCCTAAACTTGGTTGTGTGAGAAGGCACAGCACATCCACCTGTACCTCCATCTTGGCGCTGGCTCATTTAAATTCAGACAAATGAGATACTGACATTTGCCGAATTGAAGAAACGGTATTAAAAATGCATGCACGTTGGCCCTATGAAATGCCGTGCTGAGATGAGAAGCTGGTGGCAGCATCGGTGCACCTGCACGGAGGTCCAGGTTTGCCGTTGTTTTAGAAAGACACAAGACAGCTAAGCAGAGAAACAGAATACCAGAACCGGTAGGAAAACAGATGGCTGGTACCATTTTCACGTAAGCTATGGTGCATGCGTGCAATACCGAAATTGTTGCTGAATTGTCAAATCAAAGAACACCATTCCGTGACAAGAGAATGATGCCACCCTGTGAGGAAACTTGCACGATGGCAGAGTAAGGCAGGGGGTAACTGTGGGACTTGACTGCATTTGCAAATACGCACGTAAAACATCGGACTGAAAGAAGATCTGAAAAGGGCAACTGGAGGACAAGCACTTATATAGTCCGCATTTGTTTTAGATAGCGAATTCTGTCACAGTAAGTCACACAATCTTTACTTTCCTTCTAAAACTGCAAGGGCAGTATTCGCCCTCCAAGCGAGTGCTGCCGGGTGGTGGGTGGAGGAACACGGTGCCCTTGCACAGAGAGGTCGATCAGGGTTTGTGTTCTTTCATGGCCTGAGAGGTGCAGGACAGGAAACACACACATGGCTGGTGGAAAAAGTAAGCCCTGTGTGGAGACCCAGACAACCTCAAGGTTCTCTGTGGTTCTTCTTTAATACAAGTCATTATCTTGGAAGAGAGTGACCCAGCGAGAGCACATCCCCGGGGCAGGAGAGCATTCCAGCCGGACAGAAGCGCTTCCCCGGGGAGAGGGCACCGAGGACTTGTGCCACGAGTGCCCTGGACTGACCCGGGCCTGGCACGCTGTGGTCAGACGTGAATTTATCCTCAGTGAGTGAGTCACCGTCTGTCGTTACTCCAGCGCTTTTTCCCTTGTTAAAAGTGGCTTTCCCCTTTGGGAAATGTCTATAGATAACATCCTGACACAACAGGTAACTCTATTTTGTGAAGAGCTGTCCAAATGTTAATGAAAATAACCCATTTATTTCAGACAATATTTCATATGCTGATATGTGCACATAAAGGAATAAACTTTGATTGTTGGGACTCTGTTCTGCAGTCCACACTCAAATGTTTGGGTGCTTGTATTTGTTATGGTTATTTTTATTAATAAAATAAAAGTTATGGTGAGCATTTATTGATTGGTTGCCTAATATCAGATTCTGTGGTAAAAAGCATCACATACGCTTTTCAAAAAGGAATCTTGACCAACCAACCCTATGAAGCTGTTGTGATAACAGCACTGAAAATTTGTCATAGTCGCGGGTCTAGTAAATTCAGTCTTCAACCTAGAACTTGTTCTTGGAGTCATTAAGTTGTATACGATAATATGCAATGGAATTTTATAGGGCTTATTGTTATAAATCTGGCTATACTTATAACGAGTTGAAAGAACTATCAGATTGCAAATTTATGACTTAATTTCTGGGAGATGAGTGTGTTTATCTGAGATGTTCGAAATGAGCACGATGCTAATTATTATTTTAACCATCAGCCACCCTGTCCATTACATTGGTGACCTTGAACACTGACTGAACTTCAGAAGCACACTACTATGTAAGAAGAGCAACATTCTTCTGTATATTCACAATGAGATCAGTGTCACATAGTGTGAGACCCTCCATCCATGTGCCGATGAACCACATCTTTCATGATTATTATTTCAATTTGTACATATTTTGATTCTCTTTTTTCTGCTCAAATTAGGGTGCAGAGAAAAAAATTGGGCTTCATAGACTTACTTTAAAATTCAAGCTAGTAAAAAAAAAATTCAAGCCAGTTTTATATTTGAGAGAATGAGACCATATATGGAAAATAAAAGAACTCATCAGAACTCGTATTAAAATTATATCAAAAAATCGCCCAAATATATACATATCTTAAAAAAATCTTTAGAGTAAATCTTTTTGTGTGTGTGTGTGTTATCCCCATCCCCAAATTAGGTGTGTGAGAGAAAGAGGGAAAGGAGAGAGACAGCAGGGGACAGATAGAGGAGGTGCAACTGTCACTCTAGGGCTTGACAATTTTATTTGTGATATAAAAAACTGAATAAAGTGACACCGATGAGGGCTTCTAGGTTTATTACTAAGGTGTCTTGTAATGTCAACTCATACAGAATAAAAGGAGACAGCATGCTGGCAATCACCTGGCCTCTTTGTACATGAGACACAATAAACACTCAAAACAGAGCAGAAGATAAGGCCTCTATGGCTCTGAGGAAGACACACATTCTGTTTAACAGAGTTGTATTTTTTCTTAATATTCAGCTCTGGAGAATTACTCTCTGAAGAAGTAATCATTTCATTACTATGCCAGGTACATTGTAGATTAGATTAGAATGCACTGCACATAATTTTCACATAATTCATGTAAAACAGAATTATAAACTTTGACATTAGCAGATTGGATATGAATAATGCAAGTTCTAAGGGATTATTTCCTCAAAAAATATTTACTGAAGAGTTAACAGAATCATTAAACATATTTCTATATATTACAGTAGAGTGAAAAATTGAAAAGATGAAGTCATATGTTCTTCCAGGTGGAATATTTGCATAGTTATAATGCAAATTTATATCCTAGAAAAGCAAGGAAAGAAATGGCTGGGTTCCCCCGTAGGATGAAAGTCTATCTACTTGTTCTAAGTTCTTTTTATCGATTGTGCCCATTCTCTGCAGTGTCTGGCCCTCTGCCCCCAGCTGGTGAACTTTAAAAACATGGCATTGTATGAAATAAAACTTGTTTCTGTGAAATAAATAAAGTCATACTTTATTTTTTCCATAATCTATTGTTCACAGGTATCCAAAATGCTTCGTAGAAGGCTTTAAGAATATTTTACATGATAACGTTAATGCCTTACCTCCTGTGTTTGCTTTGATGGGTTCCATGACTTGACTTTATTAAGTAACGATTGTCAAGCAGTTGGACTGTGTAGCGTGTGCAATTAATACTGCATTGGTCTCGCATGTGCTCTGTGTGTAAGTGAGCCCACGGGTCTCCCAAGGCGAGCCTTTAACATTCCGGAATCTTGCCTCTGCATCTGTTGCTGGCATCCAGCCTCCCACCCACACAGGCTCAGACTCACTAAATGAAGTTTATGCTAGTGCAATAAAGTACATAAAGATGAAGTAATAAAATGGGAAGACAGTTGCTTCATTATACGGTTGCTAAAATAGCTTCGCTAGAAGAATGTGTGCGCATATATGAAAGAAAATAGCGTGTGAGCGGGAGATCCCAGCAAGTAACTTATTCAAATGGTGTTTCTTACACGTCTTTGTGTGTTATTTATTCCAGATGGGATTCATTCAGCTCAATGAGGACTTCATATTTATCGAACCGCTCAATGACACAATGGCCATAACGGGTCACCCGCATCGTGTCTACAGGCAGAAAAGGGCTGTGGGGGAGAAAGTCACAGAGAAGCCCACCCCTCACAGCCAGTACTGTGGTGTCCTTTCAGGTAATGGCTTCTGAAATTTTCACTCAATGTGCGTTGGGAGATGAATCCTTCAAAAGTCTTATCCATCCCTCCAACCAACCGTCCGTCTGTCCAACTATCCACCCCTCCATCCACCCACCTGCCCATTCATTTACTAGCTTTATCTTTTTTGTTTTGGTCAATGACAGTTGAATATATCTATTTTCAACTTATCTTTTAGTTTTCAAGGGAGTACCACATTTTAATATCAAGAAATGTGAACTCGAAAGAACTTTCGAGACTAATATATGACTTGCCCCCACACCTCTCCTGGTTCCTCATGGGGTTTGGGTCACCTCTGTGGAATAGAAATGACACGGAGAATTCAGCTCTCCTGAAACCGATACTGGGAGCTGTGGCCTTCATTTAGTCCACCTCTCTCGGAACACCATAGCTGCCTCTTTCCTTGGACCAGAAGCATCTGCTACTCTTTCTTTTTTACGTTGACCCAAGTAAAACTCATCTTGGAGGTTCAAATGATCAGAGAAGTAGGAAGAAGAGTAAACATCTATTTCTTTGAATTTTATTCTCAGTATCCGCATGCCTTAAATCTGGCGTTTCAGTGGCACATACGCGTTGCCCATAATCAAATCCTCCTCTCTGTGTGTCTGCCTGCTCTTCGCAGAAGTGGGATGGTGGGCACACTGTGCACCCCTGACCTCCATGGGGACTGTGGCATTGGCGAGAACGGTGGGGGAAATGAATGACTTCTCGCACAAGTAGGACCCGGAAGTCATAGCCAATGTCTGGAAAAGAACGAATTTCCCTAGGACCAATGTGTAGACATCTAAACCGGCCCTCTCACTGGATGTTCACTGATATGAGATTAGAAACTGAGGAAACAGGAATTATTTGAAGAATTTTTAGTGCGAAGACTTTAAAGGTTGGCGTGCAGGTTTACAATCAGGTGTTAGTGTAGTTAGTGACAAGGCATTAGGTCTCAAGTTGGTCACGGTTTTGAGGCCGATTTAGATAAATGAATTATGACAATACTCACTCTCTTGAAGAGGCCATAGGTTGTTCATCTCATCACTGTCTAAGGTGTTTGGATTCAGAAAGAATTATAAGATGTTTCTGCTTCAACATATTCATCCTAAATTAACCCAGGGTATCTATTTTCTTCTGTGAAAGGTTATGATTTCAGTCTATAGGGGAGTCACCTTCAAAACTCACAATCAAATCAATTTTAAAAAGGCACATTACCCTTCTCTAGTGGAAGAATTATAGACACCGGAGAGATAAGACAGCCGAATGAAGGTCGTAGCACTGAGAACAAGCAAAAGGAAGGCTTTCATATTGTGAAATGACAATGGTGCCCACAGCTGGAATTGCGACCCCTTAAGGAGACAGCCCTCCATGAGCTATACGGAAAACCAGCACCGTACAGCCCCTGAGTCACAGTGGGTTCCGGCTGTTCTGCACGCCCGTGCGTACCGACCGACGTCCCAGGCAGGCTTCGCGTGCCATTGTGCACAGAGGAAAGGTTTCTAAAAAGACTTAATTTCGATGGGTTTATGAAGCGTGGATGCATGCTTCATATTTGGCAGACATTTCCCATGAAGCTGTGGTTATGTTTTTGCAAGGCACAACCGTCGTACACGAATCGACCCATTTGGGTCAGGCACGCGCGCGGGGGGGGGGGGGGGGGGGGGGGGTGCCGGGCATCATCAGTCAGCTAGTTGCCAAGCTGACCTATTTTCAGTAGCTTTTGAAGGGCCCAGAATTTAAAAAATTATTTTAAGTGAACAGTGTATGGAATAAGTTGCTTTATTTACTTATACTACTATGTCCAATTGTAGCCCTACTTAGTTCAGGCTGATGTAGTCACATACTAAACACATGATTCAAATTTGAATCATGTTGCAATGTTTGCCCTTGCACCATGGAAACATAAAGTTTTCTTGTGTTCAACTGAGTGTGCTGGTCCCCTCCAGCATTTTAATGCCTTTAGGTATGTTATGTGTATATGTATTTATTATATAAATATCTTTTCAAAACAGGGACTTCATACTTTAGGTCCCTGACTTCATTGTGTTCTCCTAGAAGACAGTGTAGTGAAGGGGAGGGTGTGTGAGGTTGAGGCTCAGAGGCCCTGGGTTCAAGTCCCACTCCAGCTGCAAACTCTTCTTCAGTCCCTTAAATTTTGAAGCTTAGCTTCGTTCTTTGCAGCATGAATACATCCCATCACCTCACAGGGATATAGAGCTTAGCTTTCTTATTCGAAAGAGGTGGCCAGTGTGTTGTTTGGGACAAACTGGTAAATGAGTCCTTGTGAGTAGTTTGATGGGAACTGCGAGGGACTCAGTTCACAGGATCCCAAGCTTCTGCTGTCGGGTGAAACGTATCCATACCACAGGGGAGGCGGGGATGAGCGTGCCCTTGGGGACGTGGACTCTGGGGTCAGCCGCGGACTTGGGCCAGACTGCCTGTGCTCGCGTCCTTGCACTACCGCTTCCCAGCTTTACGACTTCAGAAAGCTTAACTTGGTTTTTCAGAAGCTCCATTTATAATACACAGAATGGGGAGATAGCTCCCTGAAGCTCAGGGTTGTTGTCAGAATTAAATGAGATTATGTGAGCCAATGAAAAATGCATGTGAGGTTTTTAGCGCATGTTGTTGTGGAAGCGTTTTGGCAGAAGGAACAGCGACACCCGCTCAAGAAGCTGCAGCCAAAGTCTGCCCCGTGGTGAGGGGCCACAGCCCCTCGGCTGATGGGGGGCGGGGTGCTGGTGTGCTGGGGGAAGGACTTTATCTGGAAGGCCATGTGGTTTGGGAGACTTTAAGCAAGCGACATTGTCGTCGTACACATTCCTCGATGGTTTAGTATAAATTATGAGTAAGTCCAGGACTCAGGCCACTGACTGAAGTTGTGTCCACATGCTGCCCACGCCCGTCGTCAGGTTTTTGTCAGTACGTGGAGGGCACTACCGAGATCATACACTGAGCACTGGTGAACACTCATTTTAAAATTTCTTCTCTGACCGGACATCAGTTCTGTCGTTTTCGTACCTGCATGTGGGTGGGAAGAGGTCTGAGGGGCTAGGAGATGAAGAGTGAGCTGAGTCTGGCTGACGCAGACAATGAAGTCTTCAGAGGAAGCGACTCAAAGAACAGATGACTTCGACATGCAGGAGTTTCACACGGGCAACTTGTGTGATGGCTCCCACTGTGAGGCTGAGATTCTGAAGAATTGAGATCGTCCCAAGTAGAGTATTTAAATATGACTCCCAAACGCGGCTGCTGCACACCAGCCACTGGGGCCCGGCAGCTGGGTGTCACTCGCTGGGCAATACGGGAGACAGATTTTTCCGTCTCTGTCACACGGTCTGTGTCCCGCCCTTGCTACAGTTCTGCAGCCCCTCATTTTGTAACTCTGATTTCATTTCCACTCTCTTTTTCTTACATCTCTCTCTTCCATGGGCGTGTGTTCTTCTACGTGTCTGCCCCTAAATGATGGTGTTTCCTGGGACTTCCTCCTTTCCTTTCTCACTCCACATGCTTTTCTGGGGTGACAGAGCCCAAATCCCACCTGCTCTTTTGCAATCGGCTTGTGTTCGGCCTCGTCTTTAGGGGCTCATCTATATTTTTGCACTTTGCAGGAGTTGGCTTATTTTTATTGCTTTTATTTTGTTGTATGAATAGGTCAAAAATTCTTTATCAATTATACTGTTGATGGTTATTTGAACTATTAAAAATAGTGCTGCCCTGAACAATTTGTACATTTGATTTGCATGCATTTCTGGTGAGTGTATATTTCAGATCTTTGATCGTCGGGTATGCGAATGCTCAAACTTAATGGAGACTGCCAGTCAGATTTTCAAGATGTTTACCCTAATTTAAGCTCCCAGCATGAATGTGTGTGGGACTTCCAGTTCTTGTCCGCACATTCTGGTTGACACTTAATATAATCATCTCTTTATTTTAGCCTTTCTAGGGATTTTAATTAGTTTAATTTATTGTGATTTTAATCTGTATGTCCCTGAAGATTAATGCGACTGAGCATCTTCTCGTATGCTTCTCATTAGCCCTTTGGATATCCTTGTTGTGAGAAAATCACTGTTCAAGTCCTTTGCCAGTTTTCCCATTGGTTTATCTGTCATTGATTTAGAGTAGCTTTTATTTCTTTATTATGGAAAAACATTGTAAATATCTCCTCTCACTTGGTGGCATGTTTTTCATTATGATAATGGCATGTTTTAATAAGCAGAAATATTATATTTTATGTACTTAAATTTATAAATATGTTTATTTGTGGTTACTGCTCTTATTTGGCCCTGTTTGGAGAATCTTTATTCCCCTACGGCTCCAACTTCTATATGGTCCTGATGGAAGGCAGAACCAAATCCTTCGTAATCCATGCATAATGTTTTTGTAATTAAGGGCACCTGCCTAAAATTAGGATGTGCGGTGAAGTCACTGCAGGCACTTCTTGCAAGTAGACCTTTATTTTGTTACTGGTTTCAAAAAGAAAATCATGGTATTTTTTAATTTATTGAGTTATTTTATTTATAGAGATCTTGACTAACGTGACTTCTCATAAGCCATCAACAGCTCTGGAAAGTATGTGTTAGTATTATTCATTCTGCCGATGAGGAAACAAAGGCCATCTTAGCAATGGTAATGGTCCCTCCCGTTGGCTTCCAAAGGTGTACTCCGACGCCTGGTGCCCTTTGGAGTTCTGCTTGTGAAGGCAACTTATTTGGGTTTGCTCCCCATTGTATCATCATTGCTCGTTGGTATTCAGTAGATATATTTTGAATAGGGAAGGGAGAGAGAAAGAGAGGGAGAGAAATATCAATGTGTGGTTGCCTCTCGTGTGTCCCCTGCTGGGAACTGGCCTGCAACCCAGGCATGTGCCCTGACTGGGAATTGAACCATGGTTGTTTGGTTCCCAGGCCCACGCTTAATCCATTGAGCTACACCAGCCAGGGCTCAATAAATATTTTTAACATTATAATAAACAGAATTTCTTTTGTTTACTTTGCCAAGATGGAAGCACATTGGAAAATTCATTTTTCTGTTGCAGATAAAGGAAGACCTAGATCTAAAAAAATAACAGAGAGTGGAAGAGGGAAACGATATTCGTACAAATCACCTCAGGAATACAACATAGAGACGGTCGTGGTAGCAGACCCAGCAACGGTCTCCCACCACGGAGCGGATGCGGCCAGGAGATTCATTCTGACCATCCTAAACATGGTAGGCAAACTTTAAAGTGTGCTTGGAATTTTTTCAAGAAAGCTCTAAGGAAGAAATGTGTGAGTATAATGAAGTTCTTAAAAAATGAACTCATTCCTATTCCTTTCTTTTACTGATGTTAGTAGAAAAAAATCTTTAGATTTACCAAATTGATCTGTTTCAGAAAAGATATCAAAATAAGAATCCACATCATTTAGTAAAAAATAAAAAACTTTTCATTTCTTTCTATGTGGCAAAATTCTCTATTATTCTTTCCTCTTTTTTGCTCTCTTCTTTTTATTCTCACTTATAAAAGGCTATTTGTTGAAATTGGCAGAAATGCTATATTTGTTTACATGCACGGCCCCGCAAAGTACCCTGGATTATGAGGTAGAACAAACACAGAACTTGGTAATCCACTGAGCTCTTCCATAGGTAGTAAGATCGGGCATTCTATATAATACTGGTTGATAAGTAAGACCTAATATCTAGCAGCTAAATTTTGAGCCAGCTGAACCATACGTAGCTAACTGCAGTTGGCCATTTCTGGACTGCAGAAGTTAGCCTATGCCCAGGCTTTCCTGGGTGCTTACTACCCAGTCAATGCTTTGGCACAATTGCATCATCATTTGGGTAAACCTCCTTGAAGGCAGAATTAGAAGGTTGTGGTAAAGAGTGTTGTTTCAGAGAGAATAAACATCAATAAAAACCAAAGGCCAATGTCCATTTATAATTCCGGCTTCCACAGAAAGCAGAGTAAGTACCACTGATTCAGGATAAATGTGTTCTGTTTTTGTAAAATTCCCATTTTTCCTCTTTTTTTATTATTATTTGTCTTGTTCCCCCAGCGAACAGATTTTCCCTCACTTCAGTCATTTCTGTGTGTGTTCAGCAACCTCCCGGACACGCTGCCAGTGGTCAGTGCAGGGCAGGCGAGCACCGCCTAGCCAGGTCCGCCCCTTCTAATGAGTGCTGTCTCTGAGACCATGGGCGTGGTGCGTCAGTATTTTCTATGACAAATTAAACAAGTGCTGAACTTTACAAAGACTCAGGGGACTGCATACAAAAATGCACCTTGTTTTCCAGCATTGCCACACACACCACATGTTGAGAAAGCTTCTTTTAACAGTGATAGGAAACCGGAAGCCACTCATCTGCATGGCGGCATTGGAAGGGGAGTTTGGGGAACCTTATTTGTATTTGGCAGCTAGTTTGGGAGAGAAAAAGACTCTAAGGAATGATTTGGGAGGTGGCGTATGGCAGGCCAAGATTTCGGGACTGTGTCTCAGAAGGAAGGAGGATGCTGGCATTTTGTGAATTAAGAAAGAGTCTAGGGTGTACTCAAATTCTTCTCGTTGGCATCTTGAAAAGCCCAGCCTTCTCTCGGTACCTCATTGAAATGCTTAGACTATTAAAGCTGCAGTGAGTATCTCAGAATGTTGTGTCTAAATTTCTTGGTGTCTAAAATGCATTAGCTAAGTTATTATTGCTAATTAAGCTTGTGTTTTAAACAGTTAAGCAGTTTAAACACATGAGATTGCTCAGTGATATGAAGACTTCTCTCACTTCTGGGCTTTAAGAAAAATTACAGTGTTTTTCAGTTTTATTTTAAATTTTAATTTCTATTTTTTTTTTCAGGTTTTTAACCTTTTCCAACACAAGAGCCTCGGCGTGCAGGTCAGCCTTCGTGTGATTAAGCTTGTTCTGCTCCATGAAACGCCGGTAAGAAAGTCTTGAGGTTTTGGTCCTCTGTTAAGTGGATGAGAAGCTGTGTTCAGGTGCTTTTATGTCCAGGGAATGTTAGGGATGTGCTTTTTGTTGACTTAAAATCCAGATATACCCACTGAATCACTTAGGGTATATATAAACTTGTCCTTAGTTTTGGTGAATACCTTAATTTTATTCCGAAAATTGATTGTTCTTGGTTTCCAAGGATCCTGGCCGTAACCCTTAACTTTCTGAAAGTAATTTTAAAAAGTCATATTTAATGGCAGTTTTATTTTCTCCTCCGAGCGTGTGCTTGTAAAGCCTTATCTGCAATTCATTTTAAATGTAGAATATTCTGTGACATGTTAGCCTGCTGCTTACCTGGCACTTCATAAAATCTTTGTTTTTAAATTATAGAAGTAATGAGTTACTTACATCCAGAAGTTCTACATTCTCAACATTCCATTGAACCTCTCTCTTTTTTTTTTTCAAGTAACATTATACAGATTGTGTAATTATCGTACCTCGCCGAGTTTTAAGATTTGTAGCTCAGGCAACATCAGCCCTGAATGTCTCCCAGATTCTAATCATCGTTACAGTGAGCAGTTTGCTTTAGTCATTGAAGACGTCCCCTGGGTTTCTAGCATTTTGTATGGCTGGGCGTCATTGCCTTGAAGTGAAATCTCCTCTTTTGCAGGCAGATCTCTATATCGGGCACCACGGGGAGAAAATGCTGGAGAGTTTTTGTAGGTGGCAACATGAAGAATTTGGCAAAAAGAATGACATACATTTAGAGATGTCAACCAGCTGGGGAGAGGACATGGCGTCCGTGGATGCAGCCATACTTATAACGAGGTAAATGCACCCAAGTCAGTGAAGCAACATTCCTCATTTGATGGCCATGCTATTCATCACCAAGTGCTGAGGTTCTAGATTTTGTTCCAACAAACTTTTGGCGTAATAATATCAGTCATTTTTCTCAATGAACAGTAACTGCCTTTTGAGCCGCCATTTATAGGACGGCATACTGACAAAATGTTTTTAAGGTGAAGACACAGTCATTGATGACGGTCAGGTAAAATTTTGGTGAATTAGGGTGGAGTTTTGAAATTATGAATATGCACTGTGTGTTTTTCAGTCATTACCCTGTAAAGTACTAAGCAGTCCAATATTTTAAATTCATAAATAGGGTACTGAGCCCCAGCAGCTCCTGACGGTGGCGGCAGCAGTGGTGGCTGCATTGGGTCTGGGCCCAGGAGGCGATGATGGAGGTGGGATGGCTGTTCCCAGGCCAGACTTCTGAGACAGGGAAGCTGAGGACGTGGCAGGAGTGTCTGACATAGACCTGAACCAGCCAGAGGACGCACGCTCTGAGCATGAGCTGGAGGCAGGGAATTTATAGGAGTTCAGCCCAGATGGAAGCATCGGTAGAAACGCTTCTCTTCCTCGTGCAACCAGAAGAAGGATAACAACCAGTTTAAAGACAATAAACAACCAGAAGTGCCAGAAGATCAAACTGCATGAAACTCCAACAACCAAGGGGTTCAAGAAACATTCATCCAGACTGGTAGGTAGGAGGGGCAAAGATGGGCAGCCAAGAGGAGAGGACACATGACATGACACGGCGGTGGACAGTGTGGGTGAGGCAGGGCTGGCTGACCAGGAAATTAAAGACTCAAAACCTCTAGCTGTAAAATATACTGTGGAAGGTTGTGACAGTGGGAGAAACTCCTAGCTTCACAGGAGAGTTTGTTGGAAACGGGGGCTAGAGCGGGAAGTAACGAAAAGTGGGATGAGAGCTGAGCAAGTGGCACCGTTCCCTCTCTGACCCCTCCCCCACGCATAGCGTCACAAAGAGGCTTGCCCCACCCTGGCAAAAACCTAGGACTCTGCCCCCATACAACATAACAGGTGCACTGAGACAAAAAAATATGGCCCAAATGAAAGAACAGATCAAAACTCCAGAAAAAGAGCTAAGTGACAAGGAGATAGACAACCTACAAGGTGCAGAGTTCAAATCACTGATGATCAGGATGCTCTCAGAAATGACTGACCTCGATCACAAAATGAAGGAAAAAATGAAGGCTGCACAAATTAAATAAAAGAAAATATACAAGGAAATAACAGGGAATGGAAGGAAATCAGGACTCAGATCAATGATTTGGAGCAAAAGGAAGAAATAAACATCCAACTGGAACAGAATGAAGAAAAAAAGAATTTTAAAAAATGAGGAGAAGCTTAGGAACCTCTGGGACAACTTTAAGCATTCCAACATCTGAATCATAAGGGTGCCAGGAGAAGAAGAGGAAGAGCAATAAATTGAAAACTTATTTGAAAACATAATGAAAAACTCTTCCTGGTGAAGGAAATAGACTTCCAGGAAGTCCAGGAAGCCCAGAGAGTCTCAAAGAAATTTGACCCAAGGAGGAATACACCAAGGCACATCATAATTAAGTTACCCAAGAATAAAGATAAGGAGAGAATCTTAAAAGCAGCCAGAAGAAAGGGGAGAGTTACCTACAAAGGAGTTCCCATAAGACTGTCAGCTGATTTCTCCAAAGAAACCTTACAGGCAAGAAGGGGCTGGAAAGACATATTCCAAGTCATGAAAGGCGAGGACCTACATCCAAGATTGCTCTATCCGGCAAAGCTCTCATTTAGGATGGAAGAGCAGATAAAGTGCTTTCCAGATAAAGTCAAGTTAAAGGAGTTCATCATTACCAAGCCCTTATCATATGAAATGTTAAAGGGACTTATTTAAGAAAAAGAAGAAGATAAAAAACTATGAACAGTAAAATGATAACAAACTCATAACTATCAACAACTGAACCTAAAAAACAAACAACCAGAACAGGAACAGAATCACGGAAATGGAGATCATGTGGAGGGGTATCATTGAGGAGAGAGAGGGGAAGAATAGAGAGGAAGTACAGGGAATAAGAAGCATAATTTAGAGGCATAAAATAGGTGAGGGAAGGTTAAGAATAATATACATATATAGGAACTAGTATAAAGGACACATGGACAAAAACTAAGGGGGCTGGGATGGGAATAAAAGACAGAAAACTGTACTTGAACAACAATTAAATAAATAAATTTAAAAAAGAATAATATAGGAAATGGGGAAGCCAAAGAACTTCTTGTCATTAATTGTGGAAGGCAGAGTAATGCCCACACCCTAATTCCCAGAACCTGTGACCATGTCCCCTTATGTGGCAAAAGGCACTTTGCAGATGTGGTTAAGGAAGTCGCAATGGGGAGATTCTGCCAGATTATCTAGGTGGGCCCAACGTAATCACAAGAATCTGAAAATATGGGAAAGGGAGCAGAAGGTCAGAGTCACAGAGACTGGAGGATGCTTTGCAGCTGGCTTTCAAGGTGGTGTCAGGGCCACCAGCCAAAGGATGTGGGCAGCCCATGCAAGCCAGTGTATTCCACTTGAGAGCCTTGGGGTCAGTGCCACCCTGAGGACACCTTGATTTAACCCAGTAAGACCTATGTTTGGCTTCAGACCTCCAGACCAGTAAGATGATGCACTCCTGTTGTTTTAAATGACTAAGTTTGTGGTAATTCGTTACAGCAGCCACAGGAAACGAATATACCCATATCGGTCTATAACATTTAGAGCTGACATTTTATCACATATAAGTATCCTGATTTATGTGATTATTCCATATCTGTATATCTTTCTGATCTTTTACATTTAGAGAAAAGCATAAAGACATCTTTATCTACATATGGTTGTAAACATGTACTAGTATCTATTTGGGGTGATTAAATAGTACCCAGTACAGTGTTTAGAAATATCATCTTCCTTATTGTCAACTGCTCATAACATGCAATCAAACTTCATGTTTAGCCATGGGCTGGGACAATGTATTAAAGGGATGAACTGAAGGTAATAATATCTGGGATTTGTGAGACTATTTCTAAATAACATTCTTTAGGAGAACACTCAGCGTGTATTTCCTTATCTCAATCTTCAGGATCGATTCCATCAGTAAAATAATCACTCACCCTCAGATTTCCAAAACTTGAACTACTGCCACATGACTAAATGTTGCACTCTCTATGCCCAAATTGTACTTTTCAAAGGTAAGACAACATAAGGCACTATTATCATATTTCTAGTGTATCTTTCAGTTATGGGTAGAAAACCCAAGCTTCGTTCTCCAAACAGGACTTGTGTGCAAACCTGAATGGAAAAGCCCTTTTGGTAGGTGAACGTCGTTCAGGAAGCCAGGTCTTGCCGAGCCCCTTCCCATTTCATGGAGAAACACTCGCTCCTCAGTCCCTCAGAGAAATGGTGACCTCGGTGTATTGCACCCTGATAACTAGGGTTCAGAATAGGTCTTAGTGGACTGCTTCTGGGTTTTTTTAAAAGTAATTAGAATAAAAATCTGTGGTTGAAAATAGAAAAAGATATGCCACAGGTCACATACGTATTAAATGTTAATAGGTGCTGGCCAGTCCTCTCTTGCTTTGCCTGTGGAGGGGAGGGCTCAGTGGCGGGTCTCCGTCCCCCATCTCTGTGTTCAGCGCCATGACTGTGACAACCTCTCACCGAAGGGGATGTTTTACGGCCACGTTTGTTCAGGAACGTTGAGCTCAATGGTCTGACTGATTCAAGTGTATGGTCAAAGTAAGCAGATATTCGCTTTGCAGAGAACTTGTGAGAAATGAAACATTTTTTTTTTAAATCTCCTTGGATTTCATCCATATTTGACAAACTAAACTCATAACCAGCCTAGTTTCTAGTGAATGCTCATCTTAGGCAGCTATTAAATTTTAGCTCAGCTATTAATTTTGGTTTCAGCTAAAATGAATAATGTTTGTATAAACCCAAATCTATCTGCAGTAATATATTTGTCAAGTTGTTCTGTGGATACAATGAACTGAATAGTTTCGAGCTGACTCAGTGCTCGTGGGCTCATAGTAACACAAACACAAAACATATCACCCAGCTGTCAACTCCATGATGTATTCTCAGTGTCATTTTCACATTTCTCTTTGAAATCAGGGAGAAGGCCTGAGTCTGTGTCTCTTGAAAACATTCTTTCGCTTAAAATTTCACTTTATTAATGATATTTTTGCCTTTCCTCTTTACTGAAACGTTTTTTGGTTTGTGTACAGTACTTCTGAAAGTTAGTTTTAAACGAATGACATTGGCAAGTAAAGTCGAAAACTTAATAAAATGTAGAAATGGCAGAAATATATTAATTTAGCACAAATCATAGAATAATATTTGAATGAGTCATTTATAGGTATAACCCAGGGCACTATAAAACTCTACAATGAGACTTATTCTCAGATGCATCTTCATTCTTGGAAATTAAAGGCCACATTTCATTTTTTTCAATATAAATCAGAACTTAAGCAGAATTTATTGGCCTTCCCAGCTGCCAAAGTCCAACAGCATCATTTCCATAAACTCACATAATGAAACTCCGAAATGCAGACTTCAGGCGCGCCGAGCCATCGTGAGCCAAAAATGAGAGAATCTGAATCCATGTGATCACAGGTCTAGGCAAACAAGTCCCCCCAGCAGCCCCCCCGCGCAGTGAATCTTTTAACATTATGAAAATTAAGAATGTGTTATTGTGGCCCTCGGGAAAGAAGGGGACGATGAGGTACCACAGTCTGATCTGACGTTTGGAAATGCCGCCGACAGCTTATCCATCGATTGTGCCGAAAGGCATTTCCAATGCTCCAGTGCTTCCGAATAAAAGACCTCGTGTTCTTTGAAATGCTGTGCTTTGTTCATTTGTTTGCTAAGTGAACAGAAATTGGCCGTGTGAGGAACTCTAAGTGCCCTTGACAATAAGCAGCACATTTGTCCTAGTTTTACCATGTTGTTTAGTTACAGATGAAGTCCCTTGTTTCACATTATGTAAATCAAATAGTCATGTTGCAGCCTCATGCATGATGATGTGATGTTCTGCACGTCTAGGAAAAGCACATAAAATCCCTTTTCCCTACATCTGCATATACTTTGCACTCACTAATTCTTGGCCCCGCGCTGAAGATTTGATTTTAGGTTTCTTTAATTTTCTGAATTCCCATATTACTCAGTATCATTTGTTTTGGGTGTTTCTCCTTTTACTGGCAAAGTCAATCGCAAAATAGAACTATCTGTTTTTCTGCACGATTCCCCAGGCTTCTTCCTCACTGATCTGGGGCCCTTATCACAGAGATGATTCTGTTCCTCCTCTTCTTTGCTTTCAGAGTAGAAGTCTATTGTATTGATCTTTGTGGTCTTCCCCTTATCCAGTGCTTGGCATGCAAGAGGCACCTAGTGAATCCTACCACATCCAATTGTGTTGGCAGGTGTGTGCCACACGATAGCAGAGGGAGCCGTTTATTGTACGTTATCGTGTATGTAAACGTACCCCTAGAAATGAGCAGCGTGCAGCCTATACTCTGCACAGGGTGTCCCTGCGGTGGATTTCATTTCAGTACCTTATAATGCAGAGAAAGACTAACTACTACTTGGTCATTTACTGGTAAAAAAGAATGTCAGCAAACCTTTTCCATTTTTCTTCATCTGTAGCTCTATTCAGACTCTGAATATGTTATACACTGTGTGTGGGGGGTATATTTTCCTGTATCGTTTCATGTTGATTTTGAACCACAGAGACTGACTTTGCCCAATTTGAGCACCAGAAAAAGTGTCATCTTTGACTTAAAAAAAAATTACCCTCGCCCAAGAACAAGCTTATTGATTTCAGAGAGAGGGAGAGAAATGTTGGTATGTTGTTGTGTGAGAGAAGCATCGATCAATTGCCTCTCACGCGTGCCCCGGCCAGGATGGAGCCTGCAACCTAGGTACATGCCCTGACTGGGAATTGAACTGCGACCCTTGTGTCTACAGACTGATGTTCCAACCAACTGAGCCACACCAGCCAGGGCAGATTTTTTTTTTTGGATAGATGGAAAAATTCTGTGTAGTACTTAGAATCAGAGAGCATTGAAGAACCAGGCATCAGGAGAGACGGCGAAGCCCTGCCCAGGTGGCTCAGCTGGTCGGAGTGTTGTCGCACACACCAGAAGGTCGCAGGCTCCATCCCGGTCAGGCCACAGGCCTAGGTGGCGGGTTCGACCCCTGGTTGGGGTGTGTGCAGGAGGGAACAGATAACGTTTCTCCTACACATCGATTTTTCTCTCGTCCTCTGTTTCTCTCTAAAATCAATAAACATATACTTGGGTGAAGATTAAAAAAGAGAGAGACTGAACTTAGAGGGGGTTAGAAAAAAAAGACAGGGGGTAAGGACTCTAAAAATCTCAACCACTGGGTTTGGGTGATCCGGGGCCATCTCGTATTACAGATCCATTTGAGATCCTCTGAAAAAAATATTGCTAATTGTAGTCAACCTGAATGTCTTATCTAGGCAGTTATACGGTCTTTTAAAGAGTTTGGTAAAACTAGATGCATGATTTATAATAATAGAATAAGGCCTATATGGCTAGTTTCTTGTATATTAAGATTCAAAGTTAACCAAGTTTTACTATTCTTGATTACTATCTGGTTGGTCATAGATTGGTTCACTCCCTTTAAATATGTGATAATCTGGCTGAGTAGACAATCAGCAAGTGTTCCCATTTGTAGGCATATAGGAATGATAGAAAAAAAACGTAATAAAAATCTTTTATTTGTAAAATAAGCCAAAAAAAAAGTAGTATGCTTCTGAGGTAATGTGATCGCCGCCCTGGCAAAAGCTTACTGAACTCAGAGATGTGGGTTCTTGGATTTAGCTCCCACGTGAAGAAAAACCTCTGAGGTTTGACGAAGTGGGGAAGTGGAACTGAGGCGATGACACACAGCCAGAGCCTTCCTGGAGCTGCCCACACCTCCAGTGAGCGTGTGCTCTGGTGAGAGCTGTGCACACAAGCCCAGGTCGTCAGCGGAACGCATGCTAGCTCAACTGGGACCCCAGGGCTAGGAAAACAGCGCCTCCCACAACACTGTTCCCAGCAGAGCAGGAGGCGAGAGCCGATGGTAAGCTGCTCTGAAGTGGCCCTGTCTCCTTAGGCCACACGAGGCCACTGTGAGTGAGTTTAAGTGAATGAGCTCACAGTGGAATTCCAAAACTCAAAAGGACAACATCTTCCATTGTAAAAGCCCAGAATCACCATACAGAATAACTTTTAAAAAGCTGGTAGGGATCGTAAAAGCCTGTTCTCGTGATTAAAAACACACAAAAAGTTCAAAATGTTAGAATAAGGCATTTGACAAAAAAGAACAGTTGATCTGAAAATTGAGGGAAATTCAACATCTCTAAAAGAAATTATGCTTAACATTTGAATTTCTGAGTTGAATGTCAGGTTAGATACAGTTGAAGGGAGCACCAGTGGGTTGGATGAGGGGTCTGAGGGAACTCTCCCGGGGGCTGCATCGAGTTGTCAACAGGTGGAGCCACAGGTCGGTGCTGAGAGTCCCAGAGGTGGCGGTGAGGACATGACCAGGCCTGGAGGGGGCCCCAGGGGGGGCGTGTGGAGGGGCTTGCCAAATAGGAAATACAGGGATTTCCATGTGTTCATGGATCCTCTCGCTGAAAATCATGCCAAGTGCCAAAGGAGCTCAAGAAACGTGAAATCAGCATCTTGACACATCCGGGTGGGACTGCAGAACCGTGAATACAAGAAGAAATCTTAAAATCAGCTGGAAATCATGGTGTACGCCAATGGCAGCTCAATAAAAAAGTTAACCAGAAAGCAAGTGTGTGAAGGGTCAAGGCGGTTTGTAGTCTGTGGTTATGAACGCTTGAAGTTTGCTGTTCAATAGTTGTCTCAAGAGTTTGCAGTTTGCTGTGGAATGCTCTCCGAGATATAGCAGTCAAATAAAACGCAAATTAGAGAATGTTATTCATGGTTAGACCCTACGTAAAAAACCTGAATTAGACAGCTATGTAAAAATACTTGATTCTTCATGTTTTATTAGAGTGATTATCTGTCTTTTAAAAATTTTCCAATCTTTTGATATAAAATGTTCTGTTGTTTTAAGTTGTATTTCTCACATTTAAGTCTTTAATCTGGAAGTTATTTGGGGGTTATGTGAAATAGAGGTTTTAGGATATTTTCAAACAAGAAGCCATTTCCCCATACAAGATACTGGGGTTTTTTTTGCAATAAATAAGTGAAATCCTGTAAAATTCAAAACAAGATAGAATTTTACTTTTGAGGTATTATCTATGAAATAGAAGAACATATTTCAGGATTGTATTGGGTAAAAAGGTACCATGAAAAACTTAATTTTCACATTTTCTTAGAACCAAAAATAATTTAATCTCATTTTCAGTTTTATTAAATTCCTGTAGGTAGAAACGGTATGTTACTAGTCATACAACTATTAATTCAACTCTTTATTATTCATCCAACTATTATTTGTGGAAAGGTTTTTTACTTCAATTTTATATTCTTCTTTCTAGAAAAGATTTCTGTGTGCACAAAGATGAACCATGTGATACTGTCGGTAAGTGTCTATTCACATTTTTACACTTTTGAGCGGTTCTCGGGATCTTGAACACAACTGTAGAAAATTATCAGAGAGTGGTGCTTTTAGTGGAATATTTTTAAGATGTCCAAGTTATATATTTCCAATTTATATGTTTAATCATTTGTCAATGCGTCAATTATTAATAACACAGCTTAAAGATATGTGTACACACTATATATTTGAAAAAATCTTAAACCATGCTTTAAGAATATAATGAGTTCTTATTTGTTATTTTCCCAGAGATGTACATAAGGGTGTAATAAAATTCTATTGTTGTTGGTAAACCAAGGCAAAATATATTGGCAGTCTGACTGACCTTTTGTAGGCTAACAGATTTGTTTATAACGTCTATGCTTGAAGTGCTTTGCAGTCAGAGAAAGCCCATTCAGTTTGCATGACTAATGACAATTTCTATACATGAAGTGGTAAATGTTCTGTGTGTTTGTTCTAGATATCTAAAGCCCCTTAAACGTGTCCATATAGCCAGTAGAATCCATGGAACCACAGTTCTAGATATATGCTAATATAAATTCATCTATATAAACTTACCTATCCAAAAATATATAACTGTGTATAGGTGTAAACTATGTAACTATGGATGGTTTTAAGTTACAAAGCTCCGTGTAACAGGGCACGGGTAAAACAAGTGTAAGAGCCATAATCTGCTTTTGCCGTCATGTGGGGTCATTTCTACAGGGTAGTAAGTATCTTAACCATCTTGACGTTCTTTGAAAGATGAACAGTAAAAAGGGTATGAAAACAGGATAAAGGGTTATTTAAAAAATCATTCTCACTAGTTCTATTAGGTTCTCATCAGCTTCCTCCTATGATTAAAATCTGAAATGATAAGTGCAAAATAGTTAAAGCAAAAGAAAGCAGAAGATGATGGAGTGAAAGGCGTTTGGTTCCGAAGGGACTTCAGGCAGAAAGAGAACTGGACGCCTGAGGACAAGCCGCCTTGACTCAGAGAGGGTCTTCGTCAGGCTGACTCACTTACCTGCTTGTGCCAGCTTTCTCCTCTTTCTTGCCTGGATCTCCGTAAACTAAATCTTAATGCAGTGTCCATCAAGCCAACCGTGGAAACTTGGAGCACCGATGAAGCTTGTCCCAAACAAGGACCTCCTCTCCACATAGCAGCTATGTCGCCTGACAGCCTTCTGTGACACAGATGGTTTCTTGCTTCCCCCGAGGGCCCGAGAGAAACAGCAGTATTTTCAATAACCACGCCCCTTCCCAGCCCGGGCTCCAGGACTACAGAAGCAATGACTAACATGAAGCAAATCACATTTTTTTTTATTATGACGATGTTTCCCATCTTGCTAAATCTGCTCATTGAAAATAGCATTCTTTTTGTGATATATGCGTATATTATCCAGGAAGCTTGTTGCTGGTTTAAAGCCCACCGGATTAACGCAGTACCTGGTTGAGTTCGAACAATCAGGAGGGGGGTGCAGTCAGTCCCAGCTCTGTCAGGCCTGCCCTTTAGGAGCCTGTGATGGTGCAGGACGGGGGAGGTCTCCTTTTGTGTGCTTAGATCCTTGGGCCACCTCTGGCATCACTGCATCCCGGTTTTCCTCTCCATGTCTGACGTCAGTTCTTTTCCCAGCCCAGATAGGAGACAGGGGTCTTCCTCCTATTTAGTCTTGAGCAGAGTAAAAATCCGAAGTATTTCTGCAGAAGAAAGAACATGAAAACTTGTAACAACCGCGTTAGAAGAGTGGTCTCTTCATTCCAGTCCTCGTCTCCTCCTGCCCCCAAATGTTCTTGGTACGATGTCCACGCTCCTGCCTGAGACATGTGTGGAGAAGGTTTGTTGATGTTTGTGAGAACATCCAACATCGTGAGAACACACATGAAGGCTGTCACCCATCACCCACGCGTCTACGCCGTGCAGCCACAATGTTGTGGAGGAAAAGGATGCTCGCTTCTCTGGCGATGGCTTATGATTAATCTAGGCCCATCCACAGCATTATTTCAGGACGACAGCCCTAACCCAGTTACAGCAAATGGCACTGCTATGATTGGGACATGTGACCTGCCACCTGTGTTGGCCTCATTAAGCTGAAGAGAGGGACATTTTTCATGGTTGAAGCTTGTTCATATACGTCCCCACTGGATGTAAATGAAGAAGCTATAATTGCAAAGGAAACCAGCCTTGGGGTGAGTCTGAACTCAAACGTAGCAGAACAGAGAGAGGAAAGGGGCCTTGCTCCTGGATTATGTTGTGGGATCTTTGCCTTTTCCTGCCTCGGGTCCAGTCTAGTCTCTGAGCTTCGGAAGGTGTGAGCCAGCAGATACGCTCAGTATTTAAGCCAAGTTAAGATTTTTATTTCTGTAACTTGCAGCCTAAGGCATAGATCTTCTCTGACATTCCTATATGCATTTACAAGAAAAGGAGAATGTAGGGCAATATTAATAATTTCCACTTTTATTGAGACGGTGCTGGTAGGTAACTTGCTCTGTGACCAGTTAAAAAATTAAACAAGCATGTGTGGCTTATTGGTCATCTTAGCAGCTCCTAATCTCTGGTAGAAAAAGCCAAAAGGGATTTAGGGCTTAAATCAATAAAATGTTTATTGACACACATTTTGATGTTTTTTCTACTTTTAAATCATTTTTATTTTTCAATGACAGTTGACACACATTATTATATCAGTTTCAGATGTACACCCCAGTGATTAGATATTACATAATCTATGAAGTGATCTTCCTAATAAATCTCCCACCCATCTGACACCACACATGGTTATGAGAATATTATTGACTATACTTCCTATACTGCACTTTACATCCTCATGACTATTCTGTACCAACTGATCGGTACTTCTTAATCTTTTCACCTTTCTCACCCATCCCTCTAGCCCCCTCCCATCTTGTAGCCATCAAAATGTGCTCTGTATCTATAAATCTGTTTCTGTTCTGCTTGTTCACTTTGTTTGTTTTTTATCCCATTGTTGATAGATATGTATTTATTGCCATTTCGTGGTTTATATATTTTTTATCCTTTCTTTCTTTTTAAAGGAGACCCTTTAACCTTTTGGATAATACTGTTTGGTTGTAATGAACACTTTCAGCTTTTCGTGACTGGGAAGCTCTTTATCTGTCCTTCGATTATAAATCGGCTTTGCTGGGTAGAGTCATCTTGGTTATCGGTCCCTGCTTCTTCCCACTCTGAATATTTCTTGCCACTTTCTTCTGGCCTGAAAAGTTTCCACTGAGTAATCAGCTGAGTCCAATGGGAGATCCCATGTAGGGAACTAACTGCTTTTCTCTTGCTGTTTTTATGATTTTCTGTCTTTAACTTTTGCATTTTAATTCTGTTGTGTGTTGGTGTGGGCCTGTCTGGGCTCATCTTGTTTGGGACTCTCTGTGCTTCTTGGACTTGTATGTCTATTTCCTTCTCCCAGTTCAAGACGTTTTCTGTCATTATTTTTTCAAATACATTTAAAATTTCTTGTTCTCTCTCTTCTTTTGGCATTCCCATGATGTGAGTGTGGGATTTCTTGAAGTCCCAGAGGCTTCTTATACTATTCTCATTTAAAATTTTTTTCTCCTTTTTGCTGTTCCAGTAGGTGTTTTTTTCCCCTTATATTCGAAATCACTGATTTGATTCTCAATTTCATCTCCTCTACTGTTGATTTCCTGTATATTATTCTTCATTTCAGTGTACCCTTGATTTCTTTTTTACACTATTGAAGTTTGCACTTAATTCCCTGAGCATCCTTATAACCAGTATTTTGAACTCTGCATCTAGTGGATTGCTTGTCTCCATTTTGTTTAGTTCTTTCTCTGGAGTTTTGTTCTGTTCTTTCATTTGGGCCATGTTTCTTTGTCTCCTCATTCTGCAGCCTCCCTGTGTTTGTTTCTATGTATTAGGTGGAGCTCCTATGTGTCCCAGGCTTGGTATCGTGGCCTGTTGTAGTAGGTGTCCTGTGGGGTCGTCTCTCCAATCAGCCAAGCTGGGCACTTGAGATGCACCTCCATGTGGACTGAGTACATCCTCCTCATTGGTGAATCAAGAAGCCAGAGTGTCTGAGTGGCATGTAACTGGAAAATGTCACCTGTTGGGAGAAGTGTAGAGATGATAAGGTATAAAGCCTCAGGCTATGAGGAGTTTCAACGTGTTCACTTGCGGTGGGAGGGGAACTCAGCGACTGAGCCCCTAGGAGTTCGGACATGTCAGCATAACCCACCAAAGTCTAAAGTGGATCTTTATACTTCTCCAAGCAATAATTATGGTCCTTAAAACCTTTCACATACCTTACCCTGATTGTAGGCTATTGCTCTTTTTTAAAATTTTATTTCATTTCTAAAACCTACAAGATGTTATCATGGTTTTCTGCAGTCAGCGCTTATTTAGATTTACCCCCATATTTATCATCATATTAGCTCTTTATTCTTTCACACAACCCAGATCTTTGCCCTGATTGCACTCTCCTGCTGCCTGCAGTGATAGTTGTTAGACTTTCCTTTAGTAAAAATCTGCTCATGGTAAATCTTTTAAGTGTTTGTTAGTCTGAAAATGTTGTAATTTCACACTCATTTGTGAAAGTATTTCGACTGTTGGCACATCGTAGGTCGAGTTCACCTGCCTTCTGGCCTCAGCTGTTGCTCCGGAGAACCCAACTGTTAGTCTGACCTCCACGGGTTTTTAAAAAATAACATCCTAAACTGCTCTGTAGAGGCTTAAATTGTCTATACCCTCCACACCAGTGATTCTCAAACTTTGTGGTCCTTCTAGCCTTCAGAATTATTGAAGTTCCCAAAAGGGCTTTTTTATGTCAATAATATTTATCAGTTGTCACCACATCAGAAATTAAAGCTGAGAAATTCTAAAAATAATTTATTTCAAATGAACAGTAATAAATCCATCAAATGTTAGCCTCAAGGACATGCTTTTTGTAAAAAGGATACTATTCAAAATGAAAATAGTGATAAGATAGGGCTTTGGTTTAGATGTCTGCAAATCTCCGTAT